TTTTTTGCTTTAACAGCTTGTTCTTAAAGACAAGTATTTTCGAAACTTTCAAAAACTATCTCTATAAATAACTACTCGTCATTGAGGTACCAAGGAACGATTGTGAAACACTGTGAACAGGTGAGGTAATTCTTGGAATTCTACGTGATGTAGGTACTGTTGCCATCGGAGTTGGTTCTTCGTCGAGTTCAGCTCCTGAACAAAGAGATGTCAATTCAGAGCGCTGACTCTTCGTAGGTTCAATGTTTACCCATCATTTGTCGTTGTACAAGCAGTTTATACATGCCTTCCTGATTTATGAGCTCCTTATGAGTACCCATCTGTTCAACGCGACCCTAGATGTATCCTTTGTTCATTGTAAAGTTAGGATTTGAGGAACTGGATGAAGTTTACCTTGTTGATAACAACGATCTTATCTGCATTTTCTACAGTACTGAGCCGATGAGCGATCAGGACTACGGTGCGTCCTTTCAAATTCTTTGAGATGGCTTCTTGAACCTATAAGTGGGAAATCAATTATTAGGCTTCCAAAAATTGTTGAAAGTTAGCTTTATACACATTGCGAGAAAACGAGATCAAACCTCTTTTGGGTATGAGGAATGCTGTATTTCTCACAGCAATTAAACGAGTACTTTTACAAATCTGACAAACCAGATGTTCACTCTCAGAATCCAGAGCTGACGTAGCCTCGTCCAACAACAGCACAACAGGATCTCTAACCAGAGCACGAGCGATGGCGATGCGTTGCTTCTGACCACCTATACAGAACATATGAAAGCAGGGCATCTACAACCTAAAAACTTACCTGACATCTGACTTCCTTTTTCTCCCACATTTGTATTATATCCATCTGTTGTGTCCATGATGAAAGCGTGAGCATTTGCTAGTTTTGCGGACTGAAAGGAGAAGAACTAGTTGATTTTCCAATAGCTAAACCATTCATTTCAAAGTTAACTCACTGTTTGAACCTGCTCATTAGTGTAGGTGTCTAGACCGTAACCCACATTCTCTGTCACGGATCTAGCATACAGTACTGGCTCCTGTCCGACTAGAGCGACCTACAGCACAAATCAATCGAAACTCTTCAGGTTTGTGTAAAAAAGCCTATCACCTTAGTGTGAAGATACTTGTGGTCGTATTCTCTGATTGGCACTCCATCGAGCAAGACCTGAAAAGGAAATGTTCAGTAAATTAGTTGTAGCAGAAGTGGTACTGGCAGAGGCTTTCAGTGCAAGCTCTACTCGCAGGAAACCAAGCTAACACTGGTATTTTTTCGAAAAATCTTACTAATGGGTTAGTTATTGCAGTATCTCACGCATACATTAAACCGCGAAACAACAAAGTAAAATTCTAA